AAGGGACAGGGCCCCAGGGGATCAGCCAGGGTGACAGGCCAGGGCGTCCAAGATCTAGATTTCCGACTAGTTACAAACACGGGGACTGCAGTGCAGAGGGAGAGCCATGGGCTCCTGGACGTGGAGCTTGGGATCAGAGTGAGATCAGTACAAGATGAAGCCAGTTCTGCGCGTGTGTGAGCCCCAGGGAGCTGCAGGTCTGCTAGGAGGGTTCACCCTAGAGCTGCAAGTGGAGGAAAACAGAGCTTCTCAAAGGCAAAGAGCAAAGAACAAGGGTCAAGTCAGTTCAGCTGCTCAGTCGTGTCCGACTCTGTGCGACCCCACGGACTGTAGCATGCCAGGCTTTCTTGTCCATCTCCAACTCCCGGAGCTTACTCAAACTGATGTCCATCGAGTCAGTGATGCCATCCAACCATTTCATCCTCTGTCATCCCCTTCTCCTCCCACCTTCAATCTTTCCCAGCATCAGGATCTTTTCCAATGAGTCAGTTCTTCGCATCAGGTGGCCAAAGTATTCAAGTTTCAGCTTCAGCATCAGCCCTTCCAATAAATATTCAGGACTGATTTCCTTTACGATAGACTGGTTGGATCTCTTTGCAGTCCAAGGGACTCTCAAGAGTCTTCTCCAACACCATGGTTCAAAAGCATCATTTCTTCGGCTCTCTTTATGGTCCAACTCTCACATCCATACATGACTACTGGAAAAACCATAGCTTTGACTAGGTGGACCTTTGTTGGCAAAGTAATGTCTCTGCTTTTTAATATGCTGTCTAGGTTGGTCATAACTTTTCTTTCAAGGAGCAAGCATCTTTGAATTTCATGGCTGCAGTCACCATCAGCAGTGACTTTGGAGCCCAAGAAAATAAAGTCTCTGTTTCCATTGTTTCCCCATCTATTTGCCATGAAGTGATGGGACAGATGCCATGATATTAGTTTTCTGAATGTTGAGTTTTAAGCCAACTTTTTCACTCTCCTCTTTTACTTTCGTCAAGGGGCTCTTTAGTTCTTCTTCACTTTCTGCCATCAGTGTGCTGTCATCTGCATATCTGAGGCTATTGATATTCCTCCGGCAATCTTGATTCCAGCTTGTGCTTCATCCAGCTCAGCGTTTCTCATGATGTACTCTGCATATAGGTTAAATAAGCAGGGTGACAATATACAGCCTTGACGTACTCCTTTCCTGATTTGGAATCAGTCTGTTGTTCCATGTTCAGTTCTAACTGGACCTGCATACAGATTTCTCAGGAGGCAGGTCAGATGGTCTGGTATTCCCATATCTTGAAGAATTTTCCACAGTTTGTTGTGATCCACACAGTCAAAGGCTTTGGCATAGTCAATAAAGCAGAGGTAGATATTTTTTTGGGAACTCTCTTGCTATTTTGATGATCCAGTGGATGTTGGCAATTTGATCTCTGGTTCCTCTGCCTTTTCTAAATCCAGCTTGAACATCTGGAAGTTCATGGTTCACATACTGTTGAAGCCTGGCTTGAAGAATTTTGAGCATTACTTTACTAGTGTGTGAGATGAGTGCAATTGTGCGGTAGTCTGAGCATTCTTTGGCATTGCCTTTCTTTGGGGTTGGAATGAAAACTGACCTTTTCCAGTCCTGTGGCCACTGCTGAGTTTTCCAAATTTTCTGGCATATTGAGTGCAGCACTTTCAGAGCATCATCTTTTAGGATTTAAAATAGCTTACCTGGAATTCCATCACCTCCACCAGCAAAGGAGGAAAAAAGAACAAGGGAGGGAAAACAACAACAAAGTATATCTTGTCTTCTCCGGAAGGTGCAGGCCTCCTAAAGAGAGTTTTCTAGATTCTTTTTATTTACCCCCAAAGTACATTTCCTTGGGGCTTCCCTGGGGGCTCAGATGGTAAAGAATCTGCCTGCAATGCAGGAGACTGGGTCAATCCCAGGGTCGGGCCCATTCCACTGTTCTTGCCTGGAGAATTCAATGGATAGAGGAGCCTGGCGGGCTACAGTCCTTGGGGTCGTAAAGACTCAGACATGACAGAGCAACTCACACACACACACTTCATTAACCATATCTATGTACGTATGCTGCCTTATAAGTTGTATGTTGATTGTCATTTTGAAAGTCTGAAGGTGTACTGCAAAGTATCTAATGTAACTCAGGAACAAAGTAGGGATCAGTTTAAGTTCTACCTTAAATTAAATTAATACCAAAATTGTCTGCCTCACCACAGTCAAATTTCCCAGTAGCAGAATTACTGATGTAACTTGAAAGATCAGTAACCCTATAGCAGTGTGAAACAAACATTGTCAGTTCTGCAGTGATGAAGATGTTCTGGAATTAGACAGCAGTGCTGGTTGCATAACTTTTTGAATATACAAAAAAAAAAAAAAAGCCCAGTGAATCATAACCTTTGAAAGGGGAAATTTCATAGTATGTGAATTATCTCTCAATATTTTAAAAAGAAGACATGTCCAGGTGTAAAGTCACAATTCGCTTAGGAGACAGAGATGGATATTAAGGAACAATCTGAAAAATCTGTTTAAGACGACATCTGGTCACCTCTGGAATCGCAGCTTCCCTGTTTTTGCCAGGGTTACACTCCTGGGCCAGAGGGCGGATGGGCCGAATGAATCACAGCCATGCGCCTAGACGTGTAAACAAACTGTCCACACTTTCGGGTGGCTGACACTCACCAGGTACGGGGGTTTGGAGCCCAGCGCCCAGCCCACAGTGGCACCTGACCACTTCTGGCTGCTGCTTCAGGAGGCGCCCTTTCAGCAAATTCCCCTAAAAAGAACCTGTGTACGTGACCCAGACAAAGCCTGCCCCTGTCTTACAGAGACTTGCAGTTTTCTTACCGGTCAGACGCAATCGGACTTGATCATCTGAAATACGCTCCAACCGCACATTTCCCTGGTCTGCTTTGTCATCAGCATGGCGGGGGTGCTCACATACCATCAGGCTTTCACAGACCCTTTCTGTGAAACAGCATCTGCATTGCCGCGTCCGGCCTCACCGTCTGCCTCTGCGCATCTCTCCTCTCTGCACATGTTGCTGTGCCGAGGCAGAGACACGGGTTCCCATGGAAACAGGGAAAGCCCCCAGGGAGCAGAGGCGGGGCGGCTTCTGTTGCGTCATCTTTCCCAGTGTCCACAGGCTCACTGCCCTGACCCTGTGAGCCTGTCGGGCGGTGGATGCTTGGGGAACTTCGGTCCCGATACCCGGGTCCACGGAGAGGGTCAGACGGCCTAGGAACCAAGCCCAGATACCGCCTTCCCGGCACACTGGCTCCAGAAACACGTTTGACGCTCTCGTTGACCTCAGAGGGACTGTCCCCGACCGCAGCCCCCCAGAAGCTCTTTGCCTGACCCGGGGGAGGTCGGGGAGGCCCTTACTGGCTGCGTCCTGCACGCCCGACTTAATTTTTACTTTTTGGCCATGCCTCATGGCGTGTGGGATCTTTGTTTCCTGACCGGGGATCGAACTCGGGCCCCCTGCTTTGGACGCACAGTTTTCACCACCGGACCACCAGGGAAGTCTCTCTTTTCCGGTTTAAAATTTATTTTTGACTGTGCTGGGTCTTCGTTGCGGCATGGGTTTTCTCTACTCGCGGCCCGCGGAGGCTGCCCCAATTGCGGCTCGCGGGCTTCTCTTGCGGAGCGCAGGCTCTGCGTGCGGCTTCGGGAGTCGCGGTTCCTGGCTCTAAAGCGCAGGCTCAGTCTCTCTGGTTCACGGGCTCAGCTGCTCCGCGGCATGTGGATCTTCCCAGACCGGGGATCGCACCTGTGTCCCCGGCGTTGGGAGGGGGTTCTTCACCGCTGAGCCGCCCGGGAGCCCCGGCTGATCTCCGCCCTGTGAGCCCTGAGGACAGCCCCAGGTCCCCGTGCGCGCAGGGAGGGCCCGCTGCCCCCCTTGCAGCCCACCCTGGAGTGCCGAAGCTCTTCGGGGCAAGGTGGTGACTGCGGACCCCCAGCCCAGCAAAGCCCTGCCCCTCGGTGAGCGCGGCGGGCGCTTCTGTGCCGCTGCCCCGGGCTTCCGTCTCCCCCGGGCCTGTAGTCCACAGGGGCGTGTGTTGTTTTTCTCTAACGGAGATGGCTGATAAGGGAAGGCTTTCCTGCGGCAAACTGATGAGAGTCTGATGAATGCAGGGTACTTGGCTTTGGTTTTGCTTTGCTTAGATGAGCAAATGTGGAAATTAATATTGTGTTAGAATCAGGCAGAAAGGGGACCGAAGTTCAAAAAGCTGAAGCGGCACATGGACATTCCCCCGGCCAGGAGTCCAGGCTCCAGGTCACAGGCTCCCTATAACCCCTTGCTGTCCCACTTTCAAAACTTCTCTGCATGTTTAAAACTTTTTAAAGGAAAGCAGTACTAAGCATCTTTCTAAAATCAGAAATAGCTCGTCAGATCACATGTCCCCTGATGTAACACACAGGCTTCCCAGGTGGCTCAGTGGTAAAGAATCTGCCTGTAAAAGTCAGCAGACAGATGCAGGTTTGATCCCTGGGTCAGGAAGGTCCCCTGGAGGAGGGCATGGTAAGCCCCTCTAGTGTTCTTGCCTGGAGAATCCCATGGTCAGGAAGGCGTGGCGGGATGCAGTCCATAGGGTCACAAAGAGTGTAATACACGGATGAAGGGACCCCACTCTGTGCTTCTCCAGTTTTTATGACCAAAGTGGACTGACCACACTTTCCTCCACAGGATGACACAGGCGTGGGGCCACTTTGTACGTGGTTGGTAGAAAGCAGTTTTCAACCTTCTGGGTACCATTTATAAATTTCCCTTCAATTCAGCCTGTTTGCATGAGCATAACTGAAATATTTTTAAATACTTAAATGGATCTTGATGCCAGGATCATTGGTTTTGTACATTCTTGCGGGGGAATGGGCTAGAGTAGTATAGTGATGCCTTTGGCGGGGGGTGGGGTGGGCGGTGTCATGCAGAGTGGCGGCCGGACAGTTTCTGGTGGCTTCCTCTGGGAGGAACTTGTGCCTAATCTCTACCTGATGCACATTTTCTTTTTAGGTGACTTTTCAGATCGCCCCTCCGTGTACCAGCGAGCGGTATTATGAGCATCTTGGACAATGCTGTAAGAAATGTGAACCAGGTTCGTGCTTCTTTAGAAGCTAAACCTCCTTTTGCTGTCCTCCCAAAGTGTGGGGGGGGGGGCGCCTTTTTGTTTTAACGTTAGTAAGTAACTGTTTCTATCCTGCCAGATGAGAAAAGAAATCGGATAGGCTTCTTATGGCAGTGGCAGGTAGTAATGTCTGTCATTCTGAAGAGAAAAATCTTACTCTCAATAGGTGAAGTAACTTAAAAACCAAGAGCAATTTCAGAAACTGGAATTAAGTGCATGCTGGAGTGTGAGTTAAGTACCCGTTTCCTCAAACACTATTACTTGAGAAGGCAAGAGGTTTTTTTTAGAATGCTGTTTTAGAAGTTTGTGATTCAAACTCTTAAAATATTCAATAGAGCTCCTATTTAAAAGTATCATTTAGGGGTAGTTCCCTGGTTGTTCTGTGGTCTGGGCTCAGCTCTTTGACTGCCGTAGCCCAGGTTCAACCCCTGATGGGGAATTAAGACCCCACAAACCGTGAGGTAAGGCAAAAAACAAAAGGATTAATTTCATAGAAATTCACCAGGGGTGGGGGTGGTGATGAGGATGGGGATGACTGTCTTTGAATCACTGCCAAAAATTGCCTAAATCCTGTTATAACTTCTCCCACAACATCTACTGAGGAGTAGGAGGCAGACTGGCCACAATTTCCCCCAAGCTGCTCTGACAAGGGGGTGGCCAGCTACTTCTGTGGCCTGGGCGAGGCCCCAAGTCCAGAGGGTCCTCACTCACTCCCTGTTCCGGGGACGGAAGAGGAGCTTTAAGGAAAAGGAGCTTATCTTACTACAAATCCTTTAGCTATTTCAGCTACAAATATTTTTGGGGTGCACAGAGTGAAGACCCATTGATTCTCATGCATATGTGTGTGTTTCTGAGCGTGTGTATTACTCTCTGACCAAACGAAGTTAACCATGAGCCTACAGTGTGCGCAGGACAAAAGAAACAAACTCTGCGGGCCCACCGTAAAGGGGCTTTGAAGACGGAGACATGAGGCAGGAGATGCAGCTTCTCTTGCTTACCCCCAGGGAACCCCTCGAGTTCTGCAGGCGCCAGTTTGAAAACCGCAGTTCTTTTCCTGAGTCAGCAGGGGTTGGGAGTGGAAAGGCCTAGGGTTTTACTTAGAAGGCTGAAAGACCACGGTGACCACAGGCACAGCAAACCCAGGGAGGTTATCTGGGCCAGCGAGGAGCCCCTGCTGTGAGACATGACCTCTGTCTTTGGGGGCATCCTGGGACCACATCATGTAAAGGCTTTGGTAGACTGGTGCTTTTTGTTTTTTTTTTTTTCCCTTGGCTACACTGTAAGACTTGCAGGATCTCAGTTCCCCAACCAAGTATCGAACCTGGGTGCTCAGCAATGAAAATGCAGAGTCCTAACCACTGGACTGCCAGGGAATTCCCAGACTGGCTCATTTTTGTTGATTTATTGGGAGGCTTCCTCTGGGAAGAACTTGTGCCTAATCTCTAGGCAAATAGAGATTGTCAGATCACATTTCCCCTGATATAACACACAGGCTTCCCAGGTGGTTCAGTGGTAAAGAATATGCATGTAAAAGTCAGCAGACAAAGAGATGCAGGTTTGATCCCTGGGTTAGGAAGATCCCCTGGAGGAGGGCATGGTAACCCACTCTAGAGTTCTTGCCTGGAGAATCCCACGGACAGGGAAGCGTGGTGGGATACAATCCATAGGGTCACAAAGAGTATAATACAGGGATGATTTTTGATTGGTGCATGTTCCCCCTTCTAATTTAAGGAACATACATGTCTTCCAAATGCACCACTACCTCTGAAAGCGTCTGTCTGCCCTGTGGCTCGGACGAATACCTGGACACCTGGAATGAAGAAGATAAATGCCTGCTGCACAAAGTCTGCGATCCAGGTGAGTCAGCCCGTCAGGGGCAGTGTGGGTAAACGACATTGTTGGATACAGCGATGCTGTGCCTTTGGGGGCAAGGGAAGACGTCTGCCCACAGACCCCCAGAGGGTGAGCTTTAGATCCCAGGAGCACTGTGTTACCGGTTTTCGCACGGAACTTCTGGAATGTATCTGTTTTGCTTTTCCTGAAGTACAGCTGATGCAGTGTCCTGTTTGCGGTGCACAGCAAATGGTTCGGGGTGTGTGTGTTACTTTTCCAGATTCTTCCCCTATAGGTTATCACAAAGTATCAGGTGTAGTTTCCTGCGCTATACGGTTGATCCCTGTTGGCTGTCTATTTTATGTACAGTAGTGTGTGTGTGTTAATCCCAGACTCCTGACTTATCTCCTCTCCCGCCTTTACCCTTTGCTAACCATGTTTGTTCCCTATGTCTGTGGGTCTATTTCTGTTTTGTAAATAAGTTCACTTGTATCATTTTTTTAGATGCCACATATAAGTGATAATATGTGATATTTGTGTATTCAGTCCTGGAGGGTATCTTACACTTGACAGAAGGTTTCCATGGCATTTCCACATATGTTGTGTTACTTCTCACAAAAAAACCCTGTGAGAAAGCTATGATTATCCCATTGTAAAAATGAAGAAACTAAGAGGGAGTGAGTGATTTCTCCAAGGTTACAAATGAGAAGCAGGACTCAAAACCAGGCCTTCTAACTCCCAGGTCTTCTTCCTAAACTATCCACGTCTTCCTACCTCCATAGTCTGATCTCTTTATCCTACTGCTATAGGGCTTTTGACTCAGATCTTTTAAAAATTAAAGTTTATTTATAAGAATAGAATCAAAATATGTCTCCTAAGTCCAAACCCAGAATCTCCTCTCATCCCCTTTTCTCCATTTTTCACTCAGTCTGTCTGTTAAGGGAGCCACGCCATCAGTCCTGTAGGGGTTCCACTGGCGGAGCTTTGCTGGCTGCATCATCTCGGTCTCATTAAACATACGGCTTCTGTCCCCTGTATTTCCTGTAAAGGGGTTATTAGATCTAGAAGGCTGATCAGAATCTGGTTTGGGTTTTTCTACTTTGTTTTTGGCAAAACTCCTTCAAAAGGTGATGCTAGGGGTCACAGTGTAGCTGCTTCACTCTTTTCTGGGCGATATGAGCAGCTGTTGATGATCATGACCTAGATCCATTTTCATTTAGGGGCTGCAGAAAGGTGATGTTCTAACTCCATCATCCTTTCTTCATTTATTGGCTGAAATGCTTTCTAAAGAGAAACTTCTCTCATCAACTGGTCATTACCCTGAAGAGCAGTCTATAGAGGAAAGGCAGAATGAATGCTTATAACTTTATTTTTCTACTTTTCAATATAATGACCGCCATCACCAAGTTGTCTCCAGAGGATCTATATGAACATCATGGGCTAGCTTCCTTTCTCACTCCCTGCCATCTTGGTAGCTGCACTTGGTTGGAGGCATCCTGCACCTAAGACCGCAAAGATGACGAAAAAGTTGCTGGAGTTGATTGGCTCTAGGTTCCAGTTCGTTATGAAAAGTGAAAAGTGTATGCTGGGGTGCATACAGGCACCCCAGGCAGGCACAGTGAAACTGGTCGTCCTCGCTGACCACTGCCCAGCCCTGAGGGAGCCTGAAATCGAGTATCGTGTGACAAGGGCTAGAGCAAGTGTCTGTCACCATGGCGCTCAGTCGCTAGGTTGTATCCAGCTCTTTGCGACCCCATGGACTGTGGCCCACCAGGCTCCTCTGTCCTTGAAATTTTCCAGGCAGTATTCTGGAGCAGGTTGCCATTTCTTACTCCAGGGGATCTTCCTGACCCAGGGATCGAACCTGCATCTCTTGTGTCCCCTGCATTGGCAGACAGATTCTTTACCACTAGTGTCTATCACTACGGTGGCAGTAACATTGAATTGGGCACCGCGCGTGGAAAATACTACAGAGCCAGAAACACCAGCTCCCAGGGAGCCAGGTGACTCTGACATCACTAGGGCCATGCCGGGACAGACCCGTGAAAAGTAGATCATGCACAACTTTTCTTTGATAAAACTAGCCAGAGCTTATTTTTTAGAAAAAGGAATATCATGAACTCACGCATTTACACCTTGGCGGTGTTTTAATCCACTGCAGCCACTAGGTCTCACTGGGGCTTGGATGATCGCCCCTCTCCCTCTGGTATCTCTACGGGCTCTCTTTCTCCCAGGCTTAGCTTGGACACTTCCTTCCCCGAAGCTGGAGTGAGCCATTTTTCCAAGGATTTCTCATCGCTTCATTAGAACATCTTATTTAGTGACTTCAGTCTGGGTGCTCAGAAGGCTTATTGCTACAAGGATTGATCCTTGTATTGATATATAGGTTTTTTATTTTTTTCAAATAGAACAAAAATGCTAGGAAATAAGTATTTTTTAAAGCACTGTAATATTTCTAAAATTAGAGACAGCTGGCAGACTTTGTCTGGAGAAGGTAACATGGAAAGTCCACTGAGCAAAGCATCTGATCAAGTCCTTTTTCTTTCCCATTGCTTAGTGGTGAGTTTGACTCATCACTGTCTCTTGGAAAGAAAGATTCACTCTGTCTACTGCCAAAATTGATTAAAGCCCCAAACCTGGTGCATTAAGATATTAAAAAATATGTCAAAATCATCCATCACCACACAGGGTTATATGCACTTACTTTTGAGTGGGGGTAGGGGGCTTCCCTGGTGGCTCAGCAGTAAAGAATCTGCCTTCGAAGCAGGAGACGGGGGTCCCATCCCTGAGTCAGAAAGACCCCTGAGAAGGAAGTGGCAACTCACGCCAGTATTCTTGCCTGGGAAATCCCATGAACGGGGGAGCCTGGTGGGCTGCAGTCCGTGGGGTCACAGAGTCGGACACTCCTCAACAGCAAACAACCACCACAGAGTTTGAGTGGGAGACTGGAATTCAAGTTTTCCAAGGAGAATGACTCTTGTCCATGTGCGTTGCGGACATTGGGTCCACGTTTATGCAGGTTGGTCGTGGTGTGTCACAGCTGACCTGGGCTTTGGAGAGTGGACCCTGAAGGCAGAGGGCCCCCTGGTCCCCCAGGCTCTGTTCTGGAAAGAAGGGGCACGGGAGACATTGCTTCCCTGCAGTTACAGCTCCAGACAGTGACCTGGGGCGCGCTTTTGGTCGGTTGGTCTCCTCCGGCGCTGTCCTTGGCAGTCCAGGTTGCTGTAGCAGCAGACACGTACTCCTCACAGTTCCGAAGGCTGGAAGTCCGAGATCAGGGTGCCGGCACGGTCCGGTTCTTCATGAGGGCCCTGTTGCTGGCTCCAGGACAGCCACTTTCTTGTGTCCTCATGTGGTGGAGAGCAGAGAGAGAGTGAAAGCACGTTTTCTGCTGTCTCTTATTATAAAGGCACTAATCCCATTCAGGGCGGCTCCACCCTCATGACCTAATCACCTCCCAAAGCCCCCACCTCCTAATGCCATCACACTGAAGGGGATGAGGACTTCAACATAAGAATTTTCAGGGGACACAAACATCAATCCATAACTAACACTGGTAAGTATTAAGGGATATACAGTACAAGGGCTGTTTGGACAATCCAGGATAGATGAGGTTGTATAGTGGTAGGAGGTCTGTTTTAAATAATATTATTGTGCTGTTTTGAGTGTATGTGTGTGCAGTTGGTTCCTGTTATTCACTGTGCATGCATGCATGCATGCGTGCTAAGTTGCTCATCTGGTTCCAGCTCTCGGTGACCCCATGGACTATAGCCCACTCTCCATGGAATTCTCCAGGCAAGAATACTGGCGTGGGTTGCTATTCCCTTCTCTAAGGGATCTTCCAACCCAGGGATTGAACCCAGGTCTCCCCTATTGAAGGCAGATTCTTTTATCACCTGAGCCACTGGGGAAGTCTGTTATTCAGGACACTTAAGTTCTATAAAGTCATCACAAACACTGAGTTAGCAAATACTTCCCCTGGGTGGGTAAACATGACCTACATTTGTGCCTGTTTTTTGTGTAAAGACACCTTATTTAAGAAATATTTTGATGCATTAACAGTGTCACAATAAACAACACTTAACAGTTTATCTAACGTATGGATTTTCTCTGGAAGACACATCATTGCCTTCCTCGAAACACTCAGCAACAGTTCAGCCTTAGGCTGGGGGGGCGCCGCTTTACAGAAGGAGCTCACCAACAAAACACCAACAAAACACAGAAATAAAGACACTAAACAGAACACAAGGGGTCTGGTTTCCAGTGTGAGAGCTGAAACGAAGGCAGCATGACCTCCTCTGCCCTCAGCTGGGGATGAACCTGTCCAGCTGGTAGCTCAAAGTTTTCACTGTTGTGCGTGTTTCTGAGAATAACTGCAAAAGCACCAGGAGTATTGATTTGGAGGATACGATTGGATTTTAAGGAGAAGGTGAAAGTGCAAGTATGAACCAGCGAATAACGAGGATGAACTGAGCTTGTGAGCATTCACCTCTGTTGCACAAAAACTGGAAAAGGGCCAGGAGGTCTGAGAAGAGGAGAGAGCACTGTGCTCCGTGTTGTAAGAAAAGACAGGACAAACGCCTTATCCTGAATTTGGGGGAGAGATTAATTTCCAAGATTGCCGCCAGGCCCAGCCTCTGTGCTTCTCCCACTTATCTGCTCACACAGGGAGGTCTGTTTTCAAGGAGGCCCTACGGGACCCCAGATGAACCCCCGTCTCCAGAAAACCTATGGGTTTAGATCCCGTTAGCCCTGGTGTTAAGAATGCATGTCACATCTGAATTTACTAAAAATCAAGGAGCTGTTAAGTCCAGTTTTGCATGAGTCAAAATCGTCAGTACTTACTAACTCCCTAGGCTTTAATCTTCCTACTAACATGAAAATTGACTTCTCAAAACGTACAGGCCTCCTAATTATTGAGAGAGAGAGAGAGAAAAAAAACACAACCCCAAACCGAGTGGGATGTTTTGGTCCCAGCACCAGAGGTGCGGGGGAACCTGAGGGTTCCCGGATCCTGGCCTCGTTACTCACCGCGCGCGCCCGGGGCGGGCGGGCGCCGGGGGTCCGGGGGGTCCGGGGGGTCCGAGGGGCCCAGGGCGGGGGCGGCGGGCGCGAATGGCACGAGGCGACGGTGTGTCTTTCTCTTCCGCAGGCAAGGCCCTGAGGGCCGTGGAGCCCGGCAACCGGACGGCGTCGCGGCGCTGCGCCTGCATCTCCGGCTACCACTGGAGCGAGGACTGCCACTGCTGCAGCCGCAACGCCGAGTGCGCGCGCGGCTTCGGCGCCCGCCCCGGTACGCGCGGCCGGGCGGGGCCTCCTGGGGCGCTCCCCTGTGTGCGGAGCGGGGGGCGGGGGGGCGCGCCTGCGGCCTCTCGGGGCCCCTCGGGCGCTCCCCTGTGTGCGGGCGGGCCCCACGCCTGAGGCTTCCCGGGGCGCTCCCCTGCGCCGTCACGCTGGGCCGGCGCGGGGGCGCGGGAGACGAGGGTCCTGGGAGGCCGAGGGTCCCGCGGGAGGAGACGAGGGTCCCCGGAGGCCGAGCGCAGGGTGCGCGCCCGCAGGACGCGTGAGAGCTCAGCGCCCAACCCCAGGCTCCTCCTCCTGCAAAACCATCCCATCCCCATTTAGGGGGAAACAGGATCAGGCAGGGCTCCCCCCAATTTTTTTTTAGAACTTGTGCACCCTCTTAGAAGAATTTTGCAAAGCCGTGTGCGTCCAGTCAAAATTTTTAATCGACATCTAAGCATTTTTATTACAAATTTCAAGAGTTGCTAAGGACTTAGTTTCCAGGGAATTAGTCCGTAACACTTTATAACATTTTCAGTGGGTTCTGAACCCCTAGCAGTTGGATACCCATCATCATCCGTGTAAAAAGGTGGCTATCAGAGACCTTACCTGGAGGTGCAGTGGTTAAGACTCCGCGTCCAGCTCAGGGGACGTGGGTTTGACCCCTGGTCGGGGAAGTAAGGTCCTACATGTCCCAGGGTGTGGCCAAATTTTTTTAAAATGAAAAAATAAAATTGCAGTGATCGTCTCTAACTGTTGGAAACTCTATGTGGCTCTTTTTCTCTCGTTTGATTTGTATCCATTTCACCTTCCCCACAGAGTTTCATCATAATATATTTTTAGGCTCAGAAGGTTTTTACTAATTACCTTTTCATACTCTCTTCACATTTTAAAAATGCACCTATTTGAAATTTTAATTTTCTTTTCTTTTTGGTTGCACCAGGCTCCTTGCAGGGCCTTGGTTCCCCCTGCCAGGAATGAACCACCCCCCACTTCACCCCCTCTATCCCCTCCCTCTACAGTGAAAGCTCTGAGTTCTAACCAATCACTAGACCACCAGGGAATACCATGAAATTTTAATTTTTAAAAATTTCTTGTAACTCAAGCTTTTAAGGTTAAAAACATTTCTTCTGGACTGACTTGTTCTACAGTGGTTATTACACAGTTGGTCCAAAAGATGAATGACTATATTATATAATTTTGCTATACTAATAGTTATAAAAGTAAAGCCTGAGTTGGAAGAATTAAAATATTATTCGTTTCATTTCATATTGAGGAAAATCTTCATCACAGAGTCTGAATAAGTCAGCCCTGATTATCATTTAAACCAGAGAGGCTTTCTCTTGGGAAAAGTCGGACTTGACTTTTTGTTTACTAAAACAAATCTCATGACAGCCTACTCCCTCCTGAATCCTGGTTCTAAGCTATAGGTAAGACACAGGGCCTTTCATGCAACTTGTTAAACTGCATGGAAGAAGGTGCTGGCCCTTTCTGCTTTTTTCTTTTCTTTTTTGGTTCTTGTCTTCTCTGCTTTGCCCCTTTGGAATGCAATAGGTGAAGGGTAGAGAGGGTGACATGGATGCATGAAAATCTCACCCCTGCATCACAATATATTCGAACTCAGAACAAGTCAACCTGATTCCAGTTACCACTTTTATGTTGTCACACCCTTGCCCTTAATGGATGTCAGTTACTCAGTTGTGTCTGACTGTTTGTGACCCCGTGGACTGTAGCCCACCAGGCTCCTCTGTCCATGCAACTCTCCAGGCAAGAGCACTGGAGTGAGTAGCCATTCCCTTTTCCAGGGAATCTTCCTGACGCAGGGATCGAACTGGGATCTCCTGCATTGCCCGTGGTTTCTTTATGTTTGAGCTGTGGGGGAAGCCCTGATAGATGGACAGGAGAGACAAGCTGTTCTGAGGTGCTCTGAACGAAGCAGCTTTCTGTCACCGATCTTTTGACTTGTTGCTTTGTTTGGCACCTCAGAAGTTTGGCTCCACGGTAGGATTTGGAGTAGGTATGAAGCGTGCCTTCTTTTGTAAGTGGGAGTAGTGTGATTGTGAAAGAGAAAAAAAGGGAGAAACTGCAGATGCCCCAGCAGTTCAGGGCAGACGTGAGTCAAGTGCACAGAGGTCAGCGCCTGTCAAGTTCTTTGTGCCTTGCAGCCCCTTAGGAAGCCATTTTGTTTTTAAGGGTTACTCTTCTAGAGTGCGATTATCATTTTAAAAGCTGTTTGAATTCATCCGAGTGACTAGATGTTAACTGTACCTTTGCTGATACCGTTTCAAGGCAAATCTAATTGCTAGAGTGAGGAATGAGGACGCTACTTACTGGGGCTTCCCCGGGGCTCACACGGCGAAGAATTGCCTGCAGTGCAGGAGATCCAGGTTTGATCTCTGGGTCAAGACGATCCCCTGGAGGAGGGCTTGGCAACCCACTCCACTACTCTTGCTAGAGAATCCCAGACGGGAGCCTGGCGGGCTACAGTCCATGGGGTCTCAAAGAGTTGGACACGACTGAAATGACTTGCCACACACGCACACCTGCTATGTATTGAGCAATTGCAAAAACCAAGAGTGTACTTCCCACTTGACTTTGGACAGAGAAAATGTAATTCCTTATTTTTGCATTTTATTCATGAAGATAAACCACAGAAGTGCTACTAATTTCAAGAGTAATTTGTGGTTTTGGCACAAGACAATTGCTTATTACGATAGCACATGGTAGCCAGTATCCTTCTTTATCGGAACTACCAAAGGCTCACCGTGTGTCAGTTGCAGTAAAAGAAACAGACAGAGGAAATCTGAGACATTTCCTAGTTTGATAATATAGTTTATGAGGAATATGAGAGAGGCGAAGATAACTTACTAACCAGGATTAATTCCTGCTTTGAGTGCTCTGGGTCCAAAATCCATCCCATCACTTGTGTTTTTGTAAGTAGGGTTTTATTGGAACACAGCCAATGTGTTTTTATACATCGTCTGTGACAGCTTTCACGCTGCAAGTAATTCACAGAGAGCAGAGGGCCTCATAAGCCTAAGATATTTATCATATGGCCCTTTACAGAAAACAACTGTTATTGCCAACCCTTGGTTTAAGAGGAGACCCATAGTGTAGCGTGGGTTTTGTTTTTGAAGTTAGTCAATACTCTGATACTTAGACTGGTAAGATTATTGATCAGAAGGGGTCAGGGCAAGAAGTTTCCTTTCAAAGTAGTTAATGGGCTACCACTCTCTGTACCGAAGCCGGGTGAAGGAGACAGGAGAGAACAGACTTGGCTGAAAGGAAGCAAACAGCAGCTCCCTGGCTGGGAACGAAGGATGGGCGCCGAGGACAGCAGCTCTGATGGCAGGGGCCGTGGACTGGAGAGCCGGACCGGATTCAGGTCCGGCCTTCGCGTCCCGACTCTGTGCCTGGGACCCCTGGACGTGCTGCTGTCTCGGGCCCCCTGGAGCCTGGGGGGCTTCCGCCAGCGGCGGCAGGGGGCCAGGGCGGCGGGGGGACGCCGGGGGGGCCCCGCCTGGCCGATCTCTAAGTGTCCCCGTCTGTCCTGTGTTCTCTTGTCCGTCGGTCTTTCTGACAGTGCAGCTCAACAAGGACACGGTGTGTGAGCCCTGCCCCGCAGGCTACTTCTCCAACACCACTTCCGCCACGGACTCCTGCAGGCCCTGGACCAAGTGAGTGATGGCGAGGGAATCAAGGGCGTCTGGATTTGGAAGAACTCCACCTCCGCGGTCTCGTCTGTTGTGAAAACAGAGTGATGCAATTTGGGGAGGCTTCCTCGGGAAGCGAGTTTCACAGCAGACACAGGCTGTCAGCTGGGTGTGAGGGGGAGAAGCCCCAGCAGCCTGTCCTCGGATGGGAGGCAGGAGCCGTGTGCCACTGCGGAGCTCTGATCACAGCTGCAGCTGCTTTCCCCTTCTCCAACTTTATTTAGTTGCTTATGATGCTTATCATAAGAGACTCACCAGTCTGTTTGCCCAGCTTCCCAGCATCACTGGTTTATTTGTTTATTTATTATTTATTTATATTTACTATTATTGTTTTTATTATTTATCACTGGTTTGTTTATTTATTTATGTGTGTGTGTATGTGTGCATTGTATATGTGCGTATAGAAGCCTCCTGCTTAAATAAATGTTTACACACTTGGGTTTTTTTCCCACATAATATATCCTGAAGAAAACGCACTCCACATTAACTGACTTACGTCTTTGTGGCTTTCTCTAACTACATAGTGTGTTGTCACAGAGATGTACCATAATTTATTTAACAAGTTCCCTTGTTGTTCAGTTGCTCATTCATGTCAGACTTTGCGACCCCATGGACTGCAGCACATCAGGCTTCACTATCTCCTGGAGCTTGCTCAAACTCATGTCCATTGAGTCGGTGATGCCATCCAACCATCTCATCCTCTGTTGTCCCCTTCTCCTCCTGCCTTCAATCTTTCCCAGCATCAGGGTCTTTTCCAGTCAGTCAGTTCTTCTCATCAGGAGGCCAAAGGATTGGAGCTTCAGCTTCAGCATCAGTCCTTCTAATGATTATTCAGGGTTGATCTCCTTTAGGATGGACTGGTTTGATTTCCTTGCAGTCCAAGGGACTCTGGAGTCTTTTCTAGCACCACAGTTTGAAAGCATCAATTCTTCAGCCCTCAGCCTTATTTATGGTCCAACTCTCACAAGCTCCCTATTCTAGTCGTTTAAGTGATTTCCAGTTTTTTCCAGTGATAAATAAATCTATAATGTATCATCTCACCTGTATACTATCTCACACTTATGTGAGCAAAGTTGTAGTGAAATTCCTGGATCCTTTCACTGCTTGCCTGTTGTTGAATACTCATAATCAATGTCATGATTCTTTCAGTTCCCAATAAATTAATTCTCGTTAAATATTTATTGTCGGATCCACCCATCCAGGTTTTATTTTGAAAAAGATTTTCTGTGTTTTCAACTTCAAAAGGGTATTCATTTCAACTTCAAAAGTTTATCACTTAGCCATGGTAATTGGATTTGGAATCTTCTTTACTAAACACACCGGTCTGCCATCACGGACCACGCTCCAAGAGCAGATGTCAGCAATGGCAGTAGTCACTTTCGCTCATCTCTCTGCCCACCTTAGTGTGTGTGGACAGGCACCAGGGATTCAAACGTGCAGGAAGACCTTGGTTCCTCTCCTGAATGAGCTTGCAGTCTAATGGGGTAGAATCTTTTATAGCTTTTTTTTTTTTTTAAATAAGGATATGAAACCAAAGGACTCACGTACCTTTCTCTTCACAGCTGCACCATTCTCGGAGAGAGAGAAGTGCGTCGCGGAACCGATGAATCAGATGTGGTTTGTAGTCCTCTCCCACCTGCAGATCCACCAAGTGGTATGTTTAATAGAAAAGGTTGGTTGGGTAGGTGTACCCCAGTCTAGTCAGTTCTAGATTTCTCTCGAATTACATGCTATATCCAGAGGCAGCCATCTCTCCCTTTTCATCTCATCCTATCGTGGTCCCTGGAGAAGGGAATGGCTACCCATTCCAGTATCCTTGCCTGGAAATTCCCATGGACAGGAGCCTGGCGGGCTACAGTTCATGGGGTTGCAAAGAGTTGGAGATGACTGAGCAACTTCTCTATCCAAGCTCAGCTCAGTATTTCATTTTATCAGTGTTTTTTAGTTGATGATTTTCTACTATGGAATGGATAACCAATACTTTATTCATATATACCCCCAAAAAAAGAAAGAAAATTGAGGTGCAAATATAAATTAAAATGCCCAAATATGGTAAGGTAATGGTTATCACAGCAGGATATCTATGGGAGATTTTGGTCACCAACCAGAGTCAGCAACTTGGTAGAATACAATTACCATTATTTATGGAACATTTGGAGGATCCAGTCAACCTCAAGTACAGTTTCAGTGACCAACAGAAAGCGGGCAGTTAGTGTGGAAGCTGCTTGCCCAGGGGAGTGAGATGCTGTGGAGGTGGATCCAGGCATCTCAGCCAGGAGGAGCTTCCCAATGAGGCAGGAGCGCCCTGGGTACAGAGGCATGTTGGCGAACGCGGACTAAGAGAAGCACGGCTGCAGCTCAGACATGTCAGCAAACAGGAGGGCGTCAGAGGTTCCGGACAAGACATTACGGAGAGCAACAGTTTTTCCCATTTATTTTTGTTATTTGGAGGATAATTACTTTACAATATTGTAGTGGTTTTTGCCATACATTAACATGAATCAGCCATGGGTGGCCATGTGTCCCCCATCCTGAACCCCCCTCCCACCTCCCTCTCCACCCCATCCCTCTGGGTCTTCCCAGTGCACCAGCCCCGAGCACTTGTCTCATGCATCCAACCTGGACTGGTGATCTGTTTCACACTTGATAATATACATGTCTCAATGCTATTCTCTCAGATCATCCCACCCTCGCCTTCTCCCATAGAGTGCAAAAGCCTGTTCTATACATCTGTGTCTCTTTTTCTGTCTTGCATATAGGGTTATTGTTACCATCTTTCTAAATTCCATATATATTTGTTAGTATACTGTATTGGTGTTTATCTTTCTGGCTTACTTCACTCTGTATAATGGGCTCCAGTTTCATCCATCTCATTAGAACTGATTCAAATGTATTCTTTTTAATGGCTGAATAATATTCCATGGTGTATATGTACCATCGCTTCCTTATCCATTCGTCTGCTGATGGGCATCTAGGTTGCTTCCATGTCCTGGCTATTATAAACAGAGAGCAGCATTTTAAAAAGACCATTCTGAAGAGACTGTTAAAGATAACCAAGGGAATTAAAAATTGTCTTAAAAAAGACAGAAGGAAAAGAAAGGCCAGAGCCTCAGAAACCAGGTCTTGTAAACCAAGAGTTTATAATATAAAGGTACTAGCATTTAAGTGAGCAGGTGGGATGAACAAGATGGTTGAGCCACACGGTGTTGTAGATGAAGTGCCTGAAACACTCTGCGGGATGGCTGTGGTTCTGTTCTCATGACCAGCAAAACCCTGGTGCCATGTGGTTATTTGGAAGGAGCTATGATAAGAGGCTCCCTTTTGCCTCCAGAGCCCATCCACCTGGAGAGTGATGTGTTCTGTAGGTGAGCAAAGGTGGAGCTGGATGGTGCAGTCAGGCCGATTAGGGTTGTTCTAGAGTGCAAGCATCTAAAGGCGGTCCTGGGCTGGCCCCCCTCAGGGCGAAGGCAGTCTGGCTTGGGCTATGTTTTTGACCTCACCCTTTCCGATGAGAGCTCCCCTCCACAAACCCACAGTCTGCCTTGGGTCCCTTCCTGCTTCTTTTATTCCATACCAACATCCTTGATTCCAGGAGTTAGTTGAATCCTGTTATTTTTTTTGAGAAAGAGTAAAGATGAACAGTGGCCAATGCTGTTTTCCCCGTTTTCTTCCCACACAGAACCGCAGATTTACTTGCCCAGTTTAATTATTCTGCTCCTCTTCATGTCTGTGGCTTTGGTGGCTGCCGTCATTTTTGGTGTTTACTACAGGAAACAAGGGAAAGCACTGACAGGTATTGTGTCCGTGGGTTTTGAACATGAGTCTTAAAGCAAACATGCATCTCCAGGTGTATGCTTTGAAGATACGAATATTGCCCTCTGACTGCCTCTTTTGATCTGTTTAAACTAAGGTGAAACACACCTTATACCTAATTCATTGTTCTCTAGCAAAACAAACAAAAATCCGTTGTTCTTGTTTATGAATAAGAAATTATTTATCCTAGGTGCAGGAAACTGATAAATATTGTAAAGATTATGCATATCAGATATACAGGGGTTGCATGTAACCTAGAATACATTTTTAATTACATAATTAATTAAAACAATATGTTCAGGTAAATGGCAGATGGAAAGTTTTGACTGAGTGGTTACCTTGAGAAGTGAATTTAAAATTCTGAAAACAAGTTGTCTTATATTCAGTAAGATGCAGGTGCTCATTCTTAGATGAATAATCAAGTGTCATCATGTTTATTGGGAATGGTTTTCCACCAAAATATTGTTTGATAGTACCTTTTAACATCATATCCTGTTTGACTTTTATACTCCAAAGCTAAAACAGTATAATTTTTAAGAAAGGTTTCTTAACCCTTAAACCATCACTAGGTTTCCTAAACCGCCCCTGATCTGTTTAACTTTTTGCTTATCCTGGAGAACAGCTTATTAACAGCGCTGTGATAATCACCGGCGGGGAGCAAAGGGACTCAGCCATACGCGTACTTCTGAAGCACCTGTGGTCTCACCGTCCTTCCCCATTTTCAGCTGCTCGCTTGTTTAGTGCATCCGCCTTTGCTGTGGTTCCATCAGTTCTCCCGCCGTCACATCCATGGACTTCACAAAACCCTGCATATCTTACTGTTCCCATTAACATTCCAATACCTAACGTAACCCTGGGCAATCAAAAGACTAACAGAAGAGGACAGATGTGATTGAAGATGACAAGCGTTAAGCAGAGAGTGAAGGGGAGAAGTTGGACTTCCCTTTTTTAAAAGTCTCTTCCCTGTTGAATATTGTTATTCAATGCAGCTTCACCTCTGCAGCATCAGACGTGGAGATCTGAATAACGCATGTTCATAGATGCTGACAGATTGCTGGCTCATCGAGTCATGTTTTCATGAGATAAACAGACTTCTGATGTTTAATTCTTTAGTTTTTGTCTCTGTCATAATCTCTTCTGGCCATAGCTTACGAATGCCAAGGGCAGTGGGCCTGCCAATCAGTGAGTCGGGATGTGTGACTGTCTGCTTCCTCTTCATCCCTTCATTCAACACATGTTTATTGGTCACCAGTGTCTGGACAGGCACTTGTCCTCATGGAGGAGGCTTCTCAGTGGGCAAGGCAGGCGTTTTGCCCAGAGTGAGGCTGAGTGTGGAAAGGGGGGTACAGAGCTTCAGGTGACAGAGTTGTTTGTCCAGCTTTGTGGTCAGCCAGGACCTCCCAGGGGAGCTAAGATCTGAAAAACAAGTTGGATTGCACTAGCCCTAGGGAAGACAAGAGAATTGCATCTTTGGAGGGAGCAGGGCGAGCTGGGGGGGGGGGGTTGGAAAGTTAGTGCAGCTGGAGCAGAGAGTGAGAACCAGGGTGAAATGAACCTGGAAAGGGCGGCACGCCCTGGTGGTGCAGCCTTGCAGGTGCAAAGGAGGGTGTTCCCATCCTGAGCAGAGGGAAGGAAACCAGTCCTGTGGGGTTAGTACTTGGCTATTTGACTAATTAAAACAAATTTAGGGTTACAGTAGGAGTGGATGCAGACCCACCAGTAAGGAGGGCTTTTGCAATCCTCTAAGAGAGAGATTATCATGAGTTATCAGTAATCACTGCAGATGGTGACTGCAGCCATTAAATTAAAAGATGCTTAACTCCTTGGAAGGAAAGTTATGACCAACCTAGACAGCATAGTAAAAAGCAGAGACATAACTTTGACAACAAAGGTCCATCTAGTCAAGGCTATGGTTTTCCCAGTGGTCATGTGTGGATGTGAGAGTTGGACCATAAAGAAAGCTGAGTGCCGAAGAATTGATGCTTTTGAACTGTGGTGTTGGAGAAGACTGTTGAGAGTCCCTTGGACTGCAAGGAGATCCAACTGGTCCATCCTAAAGGAAATCAGTCCTGGGTGTTCATTGGAAGGACTAATGCTGAAGCTGAAACTTGAATACTTTGGCCACCTGATGCGAAGAGCTGACTCATTTGAAAAGACTCTGGTGCTAGGAAAGATTGAGGGCTGGAGAAGGGGACGACAGAGGACGAGATGGTTGGATGGCATCAACGACTCAATGGACATGAGTTTGTGTAAACTCCGGGAGTTGGTGATGGACAGGGAGGCCTGGTGTTCTGCAGTTCATGGGATCGCAAAGAGTCGGACACAACTGAGCGACAGAACTGGAGACTGAACGAACTTTTTTGGCCAACCCAATGTTCAGCTTTACATAGATCAAAAAGTTATTTTTTGATAAGAAGAGGAAGATGCCTTCATAGTCTTTAAATTGATTGATTTTCTTTATGTTTTCACTCTCAGGATCTTTTACTCACAGATTTGCGGACAAGTGTGTTTAAAGATAGTATTGAACTGACATAGAGGTCAATAATACTGAATTAGAACTGGGAAATAATAATATGAAGCCCTTATCTTTACTTTGTTTTTCTAGCTAATTTGTGGCACTGGGTCAATGAGGCTTGCGGCCGCCTAAATGGAAATAAGGTAAATTTAAAAGTCTAAAGTGCCTCCTTTAAATACTGTTAATAATTTGGGGAAATTCCCTGGTGGTCCAGTAGTTGGGATTCTGTGCTTCCACTGCAGGAGGCTTGGGTTTGATCCCTGGTCGGGGAATTAAGAGCCTATCCATGGAGGGTGTAGGTTGCTATAGCTATTATTAGTCAAATATTGAGCCAAATTGTGACTGAGTAAGGGGGTGGGACCTCACATCCCAGGACTGATCCCAATCCTAAATGCTGTTTTCTTTGCATTTCATTCTGTTTCGGTCATCTCTGTGCCCTTGTATTATTTACATTATTATTTTAGTACCAACCTCGACTGCCCAGGACAGACCCCTAGGAGAGAAGAGTGGTCACATTCCTTTCCTTTGTAGTTATTTTGGTGGCTTTTAATTTGGGTATGACTTCAACATTGTAGGAGAGCAGTGAGAGTAGTATAAAAAACTTCGTCATGCCCTCTACTCAGAGCCAGCAACTGTTTATATGTTCACAATGATTTATTATTTGCTCTCCATATGTGTATCTGGGCTTCCCAGGTGCTGCTATTGGTAAAGACCCTGCCTACCAGTGCAGGAGGCTTAGGAGATGTGGGTTCAATCCCTGGGTCAGGAAGATCCCCTGGAGGAGGGCACGGCAACCCACTCCAGTGTTCTTGCCTGGAGAATCCCGTGGACAGAAGAGCCTGGCGGGCCACAGTCCATGGGGTCACAAAGAGTCGGACACGGCTGAGTGACTGAACACAGCAGCATCGCGTGTGTCTATGCGTGTGTATATTTTTTTCTCTGGAATCTTTTCAGAGAGGCAGACATCATGCTCCTCCATCCTTAAATACTCCCATGTGAGTTTCATCATAACAAGGACATTCTCTTATGTAATTATAGTACATTTATCACAATCAGAAAACTTAGCAGTGGTGCAACACTATTATATAATTTACATTTGATCTTAACGATTTCAGGAATTATCCCATTATGTGCTTTTCAGATCTAGTTTCTTAGGTATTCTGTTGTGTTAGTCGCTCAGTCATGTCTGACTCTTTTCCACGCCATGGACTGTAACCAGCCGGGCTCCTCTGTCCACGGGATTCTCCAGGCAAGAGCACTGGAGTGGGTGCCGTGCCCGTCTCCAGGGGGCCTTCCCGAACTCGAGAGCACTGGAGTGGGTGCCGTGCCCGTCTCCAGGGGGCCTTCCCGAACTCGAGAGCACTGGAGTGGGTGCCGTGCCCATCTCCAGGGGGTCTTCCCGAACTCGAGAGCACTGGAGTGGGTGCCGTGCCCGTCTCCAGGGGGCCTTCCCGAACTCGGTTCTCCTGCATTGCTGTTGGATCCTTTACCACCCAAGGCACCACCCTGAGTTCATACTATTGCCCTAATTCCAGTCCCAGCACTGCAGGGTTCATTGCAGTCTTTCCTTATCTATGCTTCAATTTTCCCTTCTCCTAGCAGGAAACCCCGTTATTCTCAATATATTTACTCATTTACTCAATTCCAGAATACACAAACAGTAGTTTCAGAATTACTAAGCCATACCATAGCAAAAAACAAAGCTGCTAACTAGAATCCATTATTTGTTTATGGGTCTTTTAAACAATGGAGATTGAGAGCACAGGCGAGACCCAGTGTTCTGAAATCACTTGGGTTAGCGCCCTCCCTTGGTTGGGTGTAAACAGGCCGCCCCTTGGAAATGCAGTCCGAGTCATCTGCTTCTGGTTGGGCTCTATTTGAGGGTCCCCCCACCCCCTAATCTTCAACAACCCAAATAAAGCGCAGCAGTGAGCATTCCGTCTGTACCTACTATGGTGAAAGTGATTGCCATAAACACCGTTTTCAGCCGCATTTAGCAGAACCACGTTCTAAGGCTGGTATTAACGCTCTGCCTTCTGAATTTAAATCAGCAGGAGTCCGCAGGCAACAGTTTCAGCTGCACTCACGCGGAGGCCGGCAGCGCACGCGAAGTCTGTGAGGGTGTCTTCCTGCTGACCCTGGAACAGAAGGTGTTTCCTGAAGACACGTGCCGTCCGGAGGCGGGGGGCGCGTGCGCAGCGGCCTGTCCACCCCGGGGAGACGCCGAGATGCTCTCCTTGGTCAGCGAGATCGAGGGGGACCCCTTCAGGCCAGTGCCCACGGAGGACGAATACACGGACAGGCCCCCCCGGACCGCAGACTCCATGGTGGTCCTCACCCCGCCTGCAGGCCGGTCACCCTTCCCCGAGCCCCTGGAGGTGGGCGAGAACGACAGCCTCAGCCAGTGCTTCACGGGGACGGACAGCCTGGGGGGCTCCGAGAGCCCCCGCCTCCCCGCGCCCCCCTGCAGGACTGCGTGGAGGCCCGCGTCCCCCGAGAAGTCCTTGCACCGAGAAGCGGGGGGCGGCCGGCGCCCGCACTGGGCGGCCGGCGCCCGCTCTGCCGACGGCTGTGCAGGCTGCGGGGACCCGGCGGCCGGACTGGGGGCCCCCCCGAGCGGACCCTTGCCCCAGTGCGCCTACGGCATGGGCCTCCCGCCCGCAACAGACCCGGCCGAGGCGGGGGGCCAGCCCCCAGACGGGGCCACCGCCGAGCTTCCCGGCCCCGCGAGGTGGGGCCCGGGTGACCAGCCGCCTGCCTCAGGTACGTGACCGCAGGCTCTCCCTCCGGCGCAAAGGCCTGGCTCCTTCCAGGGTCTGCGCGCCATTACCGCCTCTGGGTGAGCAGGGATGCACAGTGGGAACCATCCGCTGCTGCTTTCTCCTGAGAAGCCTCCGCCGGGTGGGTTTCCGTTCGCTCCGCACTTCGGGTTTGTGGACTGTACCCTCTCTCTCCCTGTGGGCGATCTCTCTTGGTTTACATGTGTCTCGTGCCCTTTTGCCTTCGGGCTCCTCACGATGGGGTTAGACCTCAAATCTCAGCATTGAGCCCTGAAGACAGTGTCAACACTGACCTCGGCCTGGCTGAAGCCAAGGCATTCCCTCAGATTTCTGGATTTTTTTCTCTAAAGCAACCTAGGCCTCAAATCCCACCCCAAAAAACTCATGAATTTCAGGACAACAAACAAAATTGTCTAGTTAATCCTTCAGTAATGAGTGTTTATTGAGGGTAGTTCGTTGATTCTGGACCAAATTAATGAGGCAGTAGCTATCCTTTGATGCTTTTTAGGAGAAGCCTCTTTTATAGTCACTGCATAGGATGTATTTATGGAACCAGGAGGATGGTTTTACAATTTAAAATCATGATGGAGATTTATTGCTGCACCACTGCTTGAGCACAAATGACCCACCAGTTGTAATATTATAGCTTCTTTCTGCGAAGGTGAAACACCCTCTGTTTTATTATGTAGTTACAAGGAGCTTTGTCACTTATGCTGAGGACTTCCTCTGGCTCTGGAGATTATTTGCTGTGTTATGGGAAGCAGGGAGGTCAGAGATCTCTTCCAGAAATTTCTCAAAGCTCTAGACACTCTCGCCAGAAAAATAAATATATGAAAAGTGAAGTGAAACTGTTAGTTGCTCAGTCGTGTCTGACTCTTTGCAACCCCATGGACTGTAGGCCGCCAGGCTCCCCTGTCCATGGGATTCTCCAGGCCAGAATACTGGAGTGGGTTGCCATTTCCTTCTCCAGGGGATCTTCCCAACCCAGGGATCAAACCCGGCGGGTCTCCTCAATTGCAGGCAGATTCTTTATCATCTGCGCCAAAGGGGAAGCCCTACGAATATATGAAAGTGAAAGTGTTAGTTGCCCAGTCGTGTCCAACTCTGCAACCCCATGGACTGTAGCCTCCCAGGCTCCTCTGTCCATGGGATTCTCCAGGCAAGAGTACTGGAGTGGGTTGCAGTGCCCTCCTCCAGGGCATCTTCCCAGAACATCGCAGGCAGACTTCACCATCTGAAGCATATGCACGCGTACTCTTTGAAGGGCTTCACAGCCTCCTCCCCTCTGCAAAGCCACGAAGCCCAGTCAGGGACACCTTTCCCCTGGATGCTTTAGCTGTCCTGCCTCTTTTAGACCGCCAGCAGGTCTAGCAGCCGCTCTCGGGATTGTTTATAACCACGAGGCAGCCCCATCGGGCCCTGAGAGGGGACCGCTTTGTCTCATGCTGGTGATGACGCCTGGCTTATTGAGTTGAAGGATGAATTTGAATCTGTTTTGCGGTTTGGCTGTACCTACCCAGATTCACTGCTGTGTCGATGCTCGATCAGCTCTCAGTCAAACTGAAAGAGGGAGATAAGCTGGGGGTATTTTTCAAAGAACCCTGATGTGTTTTTCCTTCCAAAGACCTCAGCTTTTTTCTTTTTTCAAAGGTTTTAAGTGACTTCCATATCTAAAAGTTTGGCTCTGTGGTTCGTTTGTGTGGTTCGCTTTCTTTTTTGGAGGTGACTTTTCTTTCCACTGGTTGGACACACGCATAAAGCCCGAGGGCTTGGGCTGGGAAGCGAGGGCGGAGCCTCCGCGGGGCGGGGCCGCGTCCGTGACGCGCCGGAAGAGCGCTTCCTCGGTTGCTGACGTCACAAGGTGACGTTGCTGCCGTGTGAAAGGCGGGCGCAGTTTCTAGGAAGAACAACGTTAGCCACAGAGAAAGGGATCATTTATTTTCCCTTAGTGTGACACCAAAATGGCAGGTCTGAACTTTCCTGTAAAGGGTTAAAACAGTGGCTATCTCTGTGTCTATCCTTTATTTCTCTCCAGCACTAAACATCTAAGCATGGAAAAAGAGAAAAAAATGTAGCATCCACTAAGTGGTGTTAATTTGCAAGAAGTTGACACTGCTTTTTCTGTCTCAGTCTGGTGCTCAGCCATATAAAACATCCGTGGAGCGTTGCCAGCAAGCGGGCCAGATTCATGCTCGCCTGAGGAGCAGGCAGACCGAGTTCTGAGGTTGTGCGGTCGCCTCTATAATTACTTCTACATGGAACGGCCTCCTGGTTCCTGGTCCAATAGGCTTTCTCAATGCCCCCCCCCGCCCCCGGCTGTGCCAGGGCTTAGCTGTGGAATGCAGGATCTTGAGTTCTGTCATGGTCTCCCTGCATTGAGATCAGGGAGCCTTAGCCACTGAACCACCAGAGAAGTTGCTCATTAGTGCTGTGCTGTGCTTAGTCATCAGTCAGTCGCGTCCGACTCTTTGTGGCCCCAAGGACTGTAGCTCACCAGGCTCCTCTGTCCATGGGATTCTCCAGGCAAAAACACTGGAGTGGGTTGCCATGCCCTCCTCCCAGGGATCTTCCCGACCCAGGGATCAAACCCAGGTCTCCCACATTGCAGGCGGGTTCTTTACTGTCTGAGTCACCAGGGAAGCCTATTATTACTTTTAAAAAAGAAAAAAGAAAATTCACTTGCCTGTTCCAGGTCTTAGTTGTGGCTTGTGGGATCTAGCTCCCTAATCATGGATCAAACCTGGGCCCCTCGCATTGGCAGCAAGGTGTCTTAGCCATTGGACCACCAGGGAAGTGCTTCTTTACTGCTTTTTAAAAATTGTCATGATTTATGTTCTATAAAAATGTGTGAAAGAGGATGGTGCTTGGGTGAAAGTTACGAGTGGGCTTAATCCTAAAAGGCACCATCTTCTCAGGACTTGAGGGAGGTAACCTTTTTATTGGCTTTTGGATTTGTTTGTGTGAGTATTTAAAAAGAAAAAAAAAAAAAACTTGCAACCAAATCAAGTGGTTTGAGCAGAAACGACAGGTCTGGACACTTCCTCAGTGGGAAAAGTACCTTCTTGGCACCCAGCTGCCTTTTGCAGATGATGATAGCTCTTCAAACAGCTCCATAAGCATATCTTTCAAAAACAATACCCGATGGTAAGTTTATTTTAGCTGTGTCACATCTCTGAAAGAACAAGGAGGATTATCAGCCAAAACCAGTGAGGGGGGAAAACACTGTAGTCTCATTTTGTGTAACCGTGTCCTAATTTACGTCTTAAAGTCTCCTGATGACATGATGGTGGTTACCTTGCTGACAAGCTCTTTCACCTGGAGTTTAGAGGGTTCTGTGTCTAGAAAATCATTCCACATGGAAGAAAGAACAGCTTCTGGTGATGCAAGTGTCACCAGTTGGCCAGTGACTTGATTCTGGCTCCTGAAATGATGTCATTGGTTCAGACACTTCTCTGCTGGAGGGAGGTGTTTCTTCACGGGGCTCACAACAATTCTTCATGAGCACAAGCTACATGATTCTCTATCGAGTCTTTTACTGAGGAACTACTGAGACGTGGAGACTTGGAAAAGCTTGGTAGTAGGGATGGGCGCCAGGGAGTGGACAACATGAAAAGAATCAATAATCTGAGAAAGCGCGGCCCCCTTTCTCATGGACCCCTTAGCCAGCTCACCCACCTCTGCCTGGCCCACGCCGCCCAGCCCCTTTGGCGGGAACCTCTCCCCTTCCTGCTTATGCCCACCCGCTTCCCTCTCTGTGGCCACCTCCTCCCTGCCCTGTGCCCTTTCCAGAGCACTCAGTGCCTCCTGACCTTCACGTCCCTGCTCAGATTGTGTCCGACTCTTTCTGACCCTATGGACTGTAGCCCGCCAGGCACCTCTGTCCATGGTTTTCCCGGCAAGAAGACTGGACTGGGTTGCTATTTCCTCCTCCAGGGGGTCTTCCCGACCCAAGGACTAAACTCGAGTCTCTTGCACCTCCTGCATTGCAGGCGGATTCTTTAGCACTGAGTCACTGGGGAAGCTCAAATGCTGCTTCCTAAACGAGGGCAACTCCCCGTCTGTGCCCCTGGCAGCCCCTGGTAATAACCCGGCATCTTTCTCACTGAGCCCAGGATACCCACACCTTTAACAACAACCATCTCGAGGCAGCCATGGCCAGCTAGTTGGTAAAAGTTCCCATGACCGTCACCATGCCTGACCTTCCTAGTCTCTCCCGAGGCAGCTTACTCACCGTATAAATGAATACATGTCCATAAGCTCACTCATTCATTTATCCAGTCGTGAATAACTAGAGGAATGAGAACCCGTAGCTCCAGCTTCTTCCCTGACTTCCTCTCAGTCTCCCACATCTCCCGTCTGTCCTGGGGGTTGGGGGCTGGGCAGGGGATGGCGGGACTGCCACTAGCTGTCCTGGGCAGGCTTGGGTGTCCTGGGCGGAGGAGGCAGATGTGGCAGAAGTGAGGATGCTGGTCCGTCCAAGTGGTGCAGACATACCCAGGCTCAGGCCTGGGAGCCTGGGACACTGGAGGATGAGGGCCCCCCCCCCCCCGACTCCTGGGCCCCACTCCGTCCTGAAACGACTGTTTTTGACCTTCCACTTCCATCCTGTGAGACAGATAAGGTCTTCTTACCCCAGTTTTCTTCCCCTTTCTCCCCTCCCCTCAAGCAAAGAACACTTCTCTGTTTCTAGCTTGCTTCTCTTTCCTGCTGAAATGCCATCCACTAACTTGTACTGATGTTGGAAAAGTGAAAAGTGTTAGTCACTCAGTCGTGGCCCACTTTTTTGCACCCCATGGACTGCAGCCCACCAGGCTCCTCTGTCCATGGGATTCTCCAGGCACGGATACTGGAGGGGGTTGCCATGCCCTCCTCCAGGGGATCTTCCTGACCGGGGGATTGAACCCTGGTCTCCTGCACTGCAGGCAGATTCTCTGCTGTCTGAGCCACCAGGGAAACATTGTTTACCTGAGCCGCATGTTTGACATTT